ATCTATCTCCTCGTCCAAATCATTGATGAAGATGTTGAAGAGCACTGGGCCTAGAACAGAGCCCTGGGGCACCCCACTACACACTTCCCTCCATGTAGATGCAGTTCCATTGAGGACCACTCACTGAGTATGGCTGGTCATTTGGATTATCGTTATTTATGGTGACTGGAAGAATTTCTTTCATCCTCACACAGAGGTGCCAGAAATTTAATTGGGGAGTTTTTTGCATGGAAAATATATTTATCTACCATTGTGCTATGGCTTTATATTTACTTTACTGTGAATAAATTTAGATTCAGAGATATTTTATGGAACTTTTAATGGTGCATATTTTTAAGTCCTAGGAAAACATCCTTCGTTTTATCCTTGGATTTAATGCTTAATTTTGCCTCAAAATGTTCCTTTCCCAAACTTTTTTTAAAAAATGAAATCACAAAATGCCTTCATTCACTGCATCCATCCATCCATTCATTCATCCATCTCAGCTCATTATAACAGCCTTCAAACATATACTTGGATTTTTGGGCTATCCTATTAGGGATTGATGGAATTTGGAAAGGTCCAGCATCATCTAGTCCAGAGGTGGATAACTATGGGCATTTATGTCCTGTGGACTTCAACTCCCAGAATTCCTGAGCTAGCAGGAAGTTTTCTTCTGGGAGTTGAAGTCCACAGGACATAAAAGGGTCATAGCTGCCCATCCCTGATTTAATTCAATTCCTGCTTAGTGCAAACAGTCCAGAATTAGAACATCTCCAATAAATAGCTGTTTGTATGTTCTATCCTGTTCTGTGCTGCCCTGCCCTGCCCTATTACAATGATTTCTATGCCACCTGGGCCTAAAGAGACTCCTCAAGAAACTTAGCAAAGAGAGTTTTCTGCATTTATAATCATATGTAGAGCCTACCTATGGACTACATTGATAAAATAGCTATTCTGTTCTTACTTGCCTTTTCCCAAAAGGCTTTAGTGAGAATTCTAAACAAGGTTACCGTGGGTCATTTCAGCCTTTGGATTTCCTCTCTTGTGTGATATTCAACTACCATGTCAGAATAGAATAAACAGGACAACATTTTGTCTTTCAATTTCAGAAATTGTATATAAAACATAGAAACTACACTGCAATGTAATATAAAAATCTCCTTAGAAGTTTTTAATGTAAACATTAAAAATATGTATACTGTTTCAGTTTCAAGGTAAAGTGCAATTGTTTTTGAGATGACACGACAAATAGATTGCACTGTAACTTTTGGCATATAGTTTATCCAACTTTCATATTGAAATCCAGATATGTGGACTTGATTGCCCAGAATAATCAGCAATTAACTTGCTGGCTACTGAATTCTGGAAGTTGAACTCTATATATGTACCCAGGTTGGGGAAGATTGGTCCAAAATTTCTCACACTTCTAATACATTGGAAGCTTCTTTTTATCACTACAAATTATTTAATGATTGAAGTCAGTAATGCTCATATTTTCTGGATCAGAGTTCAGGCAGAACCCTGATCTACATCTGATATTTTATTTGGAATTGACCTGGATTTAATCTAATATTTTTAGCAAAAAAAAAAAAAAGTACTATGACTAAATTAAGAAGGAGGAAACTTGAAGTCTACAAAGAAAATGAATAGTGTCTAGTTCTAGTACATATAGAAAGAAGAACAAGTGGCTTCAGAAATGCTGGGTATACATGGATAGAAACAGACAAAAATCTCACAAATAAATATTCACAGAGCTACTCTTCATACCTTTATCTCTGATGCTGCCTAACTTTTGCAGCATTTGAGGTTAATTAGTGATGAGACAGTTGGGTCTTTGAGAAACCATGGAAGATTGCCTTCTTGTTGAGGGATAGCATAAATAGTTAAACCAAGTCAATGAGACAAGAATTTGACTATTTTTCATCCTAAAGCTATTTGACTGGAAGCATCTAATAAGGGAGTGGGGGGGGGGAAGACCCATAAAAGTGATGAGTTGCCTTTTGCAGTGCTTCAGGGAATCATAATAGCTTGCATTTACATGGTTGTCTTTTATGCTTGCTATGAAAATGTGCCACAAGTTTCTTCCCTGAGCAGTTGCTGTTCATTTTAAAGCCATTACAGCTTCATCATGAACACCAGATATTATTAACAATTGTTATGAGCTACTATCTGAGGCATTGTATGATTACAGTAGACTAAGGCCTGCTTTGAATGAAATTTAAAAAAAATTGCTGGGTGTTTTACTAAGCCAACTTTCTTACATGCAAAAAGAATACGAAAGTTAAGGTCTCATTTAGTCAATCATTTTGGGTGATAAATATGCTATGGTTTTGGATTTTTGGTCCTTTTTGACATAATCATAACTTGTCTCCAAAATGTTCTTGAACATACTAAAACATACTAAAATAGGTATTCCCTAATTTTTAAAGATACCATATATAACACTAAAAATTTGTGGAATACAAAAAAGCCTGGACAAATCCATTTATTGTGCAGTAAGGGATTGGCATCTGCTTGGATTGGCCAGAATTGGACTAACCAAGGGATCAGCCTTTATTGATTCTGTAATTGCAAGATGAGTTAGGGTTAACATACATAATCAAAACAAAGTTCTAAGAGACAACATGGAAGCCTAAATATTAGGATAGGAAATTCCACTTGGTTTATAGAGTTATTGTTATTATTGTTATATTCATAAAAATATGAAATCACAGCATCCAGTTCTTTAGCTGGTGTTGGTCTTCATATGCTATGTCAGCATAGTGTATGTACAGATCCAAATAGTATTGCCCTTTGTAAATGGCAGATGGCAATTTTGTCAATGTGCAGGTTTATAAGTGCTGTCCAAGATATTTTTATATTGCAACCCAATGTGCCGATATCCACTGGAATCACCCTGCCAGTTTATGCCATCACCTTTAAACTTCAGTTTGTTTTTGTAATCTTCCCCAGTTCTTTGATATTCTTTGATATTGCCGCATGCATTATCCACACTTTCTTTTTTTAGGCTACAGTTAAATCTGTTGTGTTGTGAACCAAAGCTATATCAGTTTGTATTCAGATCCAACATATTTTAACTTGGGCATGTCTGACTGTTTTTTCAACTATATGTTCTCACCAATTTTTCATTACTGGCCCATGATGTTTAGACTGTATTTGGCATTTTATCCACCTATTGAGTTCTTCCCAAGGACCTGGGATAGGCAGATGGCTGTTGTTTGACGATGTTAAATGTATAGCAAAATATAAGTGTTACAAATAAAACTAGCTTTTGCAATTGACTGATGGTTATTTTGTCAATGCCTATGTTGTTCAAATGATGCTGCAGTTGTTTTGAGATTACACCCAAGGTGTCTATTTCTATTGGTACTATCTTTTGCTTTCTTTTGCTACATTATTATTATGGTTGATTGCACAGTCAGCCAGATGTTTGTATTATTATTTACAGAACAGTGTTTCTAAAGTCAATGAAACCATTCCAATATTATTTTAGATACAAGAACAAATTCACCTCCAATCTCTTAGAATACATTGAAAATTCAGTTAAGTTTAACTCAATGCAGTGAAATGAATAAGTTGCAATATCTATATTTAATCCCCATTAAACCAGGCAAATTACTGAGTGAGCCTAACCATCTTTAGAACATTTTAGGCCATTAGGAAATGGATTAAAAATAACACTACCAAAATTTTAATTCAAGCCTTTATACAAATCTGCGGTTCATAGGCAACTGAAATATTGTAAATGGGTAAATATATCATTTTTGAATGCGGATATAACAGATGCAAATGAAAGTTCAGAAAAGTGTAACCAGAATGATCAGTGGATTCAGAAACCTGCCTTACAAATAAGAAGCTTTGGGACTATAATTTAAGAAAAAGTAACAGGAGGGCTAATTGATGTATATAAAATCAAGCTTGGAATGGAGAAAATGGATAGGGATTTATCCCCCTTCTTTCTAGAACATGGTTCATCTAAATAAAATTACTGGAAGATTACAGGAAAGGATATTTAAAAGAGACAGCATATAGTTAACAGATCATTCAATTAATTAATTATATTTATATGCTTTCCAGCTTCCAGCAACTCCCAGTATAATGATAGCGATGACTTCTATGATTGAATCAATTAATGGGACACAGATCTATAAAGAGTTATTAATCTTGAAACTATTAGGGGCAGTTTACCTCCGATTACTAGTTGTAGGGGAAGAATGGCTGGAGAGTCTATATCTTGCTTGAAGGCATCCTTAGGGTTATCTGTTTATCTAATTTGAGAAACAAATATGGGCCTTGATCTATTTCACAAGTCTGTTCTTATGTACTTTGTTATAACTTAGTGGTAACAAAAATTATTTGTAGGTAGGAGTGTCTATGGAGGGAAGTGTCAATAGCATCAAGAAATCAGGTGGAAGTGAGCAATTGAAGCCCCACTCCTTTTTAATGTGTGTCATGTACAAGTAAAAAGTATCATACAATATAATTTTGATACTGTTGAAATACCTGAATCTGTTTGTCTGCATAAAAAATACATATAAAGGCAGCTGTTCATCAAAATAAACCATCACTGGTTCTATTTAATTTCCTTTATGATCGGCCCTATCACTCTAGAGCAGTGTTTCTCAACCTTGACAATTTTAAGGCATGTGGACTTCAACTCCCAGAATTCCACAGCCAGCATTGCTGGCTGTGGAATTCTGGGAGCTGAAGTCCGCATGCCTTAAAATTATCAAGGTTGAGAAACACTGCTCTAGACATTCATTGCCCAAGATTTCTGAACAAGATTTTAGAAGGGACCATGCAATCTTTTCTCAGTTACAGTCTTTTCTGTTACAGTCCCTACCTTATGGAGTCCCTCCTCCCTATCCTATTTGACTTCTTAAACAAGTACAAAAGGAGCTTCACAAGAATTAACAGATTATAGGGTGTCAGAAAATCTTCATCTAATAATAAGGTAAAGTTTCACTCCTGTTCTTATTGTCTAGTGGTATTTATAACCGTTTTTTTTTTTCCCACAGTGCTTACACAGAGCCTTACAAGGTGTGCCCCATCTCCGTAATTCCTATTGAAGATGTCACATCTGACGAGGAACAGAAAAGTTCAGAAGATGAAGACAGCAATCAAGGAGATTCCAATATCATCCAGAAGGTAAAATACATTTTTCTTTTGGAACACATTTTGTGACAATAAAGTACTATAGATCCTAGCAAATTGTTAGGATATTTAATAGATTTTTCTTGTGGGGTGACTCAACCTATTATCTAGTGGGCCATGCTTCTCAGTTGCTGCTGGGTTCAGGAGTGATTTTAATGCAAGAATGCAAGCAGAAACATGACATTTTAGAACAGTGGTTCTCAACCGGTGGGTTGGGACCCCATTTGGGGTTGAACGACCATTTCACGGGGGTCACCAAACAAGGCTGTCCGCCATTTTTTCCTCCTTTTCTTTGGCCACGCCCCTGGCATCCAGTGATGTATAAGTGGTTGGGGGTCACCACAACATGGGGAACTGTATTATGGGGTCGCGGCATTAGAAAGGTTGAGAACCACTGTTTTAGAACACAGAACAGAGAATCAAAGTGCTGGAAGGGGCCTTCTAGTCCAACTCAAGGCAGGAGACCTTCCATACGAGGCAGCACACCCGACTGAGATCTCAATTCAGTCAAAATAATTCAGTCTGTGAAAGTGCTGATAGAAACTGGCAAAATGAATTGCTATTCTCCCTATAAAATGGAACAGATATTAACTAAAGGTCTTGTTCCACTTTCTAGTAGTATATGACATAATAGGAAAAGGAGACGAAGGGAGGGGGAATACCTGAAAAAGGGCAACTTAGCAAGTGCTCTTGTTTAAGTTGCCTGCTTTCCTTTCCTCTCAGCTGCTTGTTCTCACGTGCACATCTATATTTATTTTATTTTTTTCTATTCTATACTTGAAAGACTTATTTTTTAAATGGAGATTAGAAAACTTTCAACAATGAGTCTTTTCCTTGCCAGTTATAATATTATTTGTATAAATGTCTGCAATAATAATAAAACAATAATTTATTAAACTTGTATGTCACTTCACTTTCGATTAGGGCAACTTAAAATAATAATCAAACAAAATTATTAAATCTTGTTAAGATACCCTAATATGACTTCAGTGATTTGTTTGTTTGCCCATCTTTCACCAGATTCTTTTGCAATTTGTGTCATTTGCATACCTACAAAACTGTCATACAAAACATCACTTTTTGCAGTAACACCTTAATTTTTGTTGTTGTTGTTAAAATAGTTTATAAAACTGTCCATCTTATGATAGTGACTCTCTATGCAAAGATTAAAAACGACAGCAACATCTGATAATCCATGATGCTCAAGGTAAACCAATACATTCAAATTGTGAAACCACATCAGAAACAGTTTGCTTAACATCCTGGCTCATTCCTTCAACAATCATTTGAAAAATAGCTCTGAAAAAAAATTACCTTATGACCAGTGGTGGGATTCAAATATGTGAACAAATATCCACATCCTCTGTGTGGATGCCACTTTCAGAAGTCCATTCTGGGCCTGGGCAACAAAAATTAGCTACTGGTTCTGCCGAAGTGGTGCGAACTGGCTAAATCCCACCACTGCTTATGACCATTAAACCATAATGACCTTTGCAGTGTTCCTCAGTGACATAATCAGCATTACAGTCAATATATGTTGCCCTATACCTGACCTTTGCCCCAGGAATTTCATGAGAGTAAGCTGTTTGCTTTTCTTTACATCAAAAGCAAACCGATCCTATCATCAGCCCAGGTTTAGGAGCTATAGGTGTGCTACGCAAACAGCTTACAGTACTCTCTTGAAACCTTTCTCTCCAGTCTCTCTTCTCTGCAAGGGAAAAAACAAGCAATTTCTGTAGGCAGTCTCAAGTTTGGCTGACCCTTCCCTATGAGAGTACTGTACTTAGGAGAATACTGTAAACACTACTTAAGAGACTACTGTAAACTGTTTGTGTAATTTGTCTGCAGCTCCCAGGCTCCCATCTGCAACACAATTGCATTGCTTTCAATGTGTACAAGATAGAAAACAATACTCAAGATTTCAAAGGTTGGGGGAGTTGTTAGGAGCCAAACAAAATCAGAGTGAGACTGAGTAATCTTGTCACTTTCCAGGTGGAAAGCACAGTAGCAATCATATGATTTCCCACTTAATGACAGCTTTGCTTAGTGATGGAGTTGCCAATCCCAATTAGACATGGACTGCATCTATTTCAAGCTAAAGACTGTAGTTGTTGAGAAATTCCTACTGTTGTACCATTCTTCTTATAGTGTAGTACATAGTACAACTTTGTTTCAGCAGAGGAAGAAATATATATTATTGACATATAATCCAATTTGTATTCTCCTGATCTAAGTTGAATTTTAGGTGCTACAGACTGGAAAATTTAATCTAAACTCTCAGAATTACTCAATATTTGCAATATTTACTCAATAATTATTCAATATTTGCAATATTGGCAATATTGAGTTTAGACAATATTTGCAATCTTTTATAATCCCTAATATTAAGGCCCCCCTTTATGGATTACTGCCTTGTCGTGGCGAAGGGGCTTGCATAACTCAATGAAGCTATAAGCCATGCTGTGCAGGGCCACCCAAGACGGACAGGTTATAGCAGAGAGTTCTCACAAAATTTGATCCACTGGAGAAGGAAATGGCAAACCACTCCAGTATCTTTGCCATGAAAACCCCATGGACAGTACTAAAAGGCAAAAAGATATGACGCTGGAAGATAAGCCCCTCAGGTCGGAAGGTGTCCAATATGCTACTGGGGAAGAGCAGAAGGCTAGTACTAGTAGTGCCAGAAAGAATGAAGTGACTGGGCCAAAGCCGAAAGGACGCTCAGCTGTGGATATATCTGGTGGTGAAAGGAAAGTCCGATGCTGTAAAGATTTTTTCTCCATAGGAACCTGGAATGTAAGATCCATGAATCAAGGCAAGCTAGACGTAGTCAAAAAAGAGATGACAAGACTGAACATCGACATCTTAGGAATCAGCGAACTAAAATGGACAGGAATGGGTGAATTTAACTCAGATGACCATCAGGTATACTACTGTGGGCAAGAATCCCTCAGAAGAAATGGAGTAGCCTTCATAGTCAATAAAAGAATAAGAAAAGCAATACTGGGATACAATCCCCAAAATGACAGAATGATCTCAATTCGAATCCAAGGCAAACCATTCAATATCACAATAATCCAAATCTATGCCCCTACCACTGGTGCTGAAGAGGATGAAATTGTCCGGTTCTATGAAGCCCTACAGCACCTTATAGAATTAACACCAAAAAATGATGTCCTTATCATCATGGGGGATTGGAATGCTAAGGTAGGAAGCCAAAAGATAACCGGAATAACAGGCAAATTTGGCCTTGGAGTACAAAATGAAGCAGGGCACAGGCTAATAGAATTTTGTCAAGAGAATACGATGGTCATAACAAACACTCTTTTCCAACAACCCAAGAGACGGCTCTACACATGGACATCACCTGATGGTCAGCATAGAAATCAGATTGACTATGTGCTCTGCAGCCAAAGATGGAGAAGCTCTATACACTCAGTAAAAACAAGACCAGGAGCTGACTGTGGCTCAGATCATGAGCTTCTCGTTGCAAAATTTAGGCTTAAATTGAAAAAAGTAGGGAAAAGCACTAGGACACTCAGGTATGAACTAAATCATATTCCTGATGAATATACAGTAGAGGTGACAAATAGATTTAAGGAATTAGATCTGATAGACAGAGTGTCTGAAGAACTATGGATGGAAGTTCGCAACATTGTACAAGAGGTAGCAACTAAAACCATCCCAAAGAAAAAGAAATGCAAGAAAGCAAAATGGTTGTCTGAGGAAGCTTTGCAAATAGCTGAGGAAAGAAGGGAAGCGAAAGACAAAGGAGAAAGAGAAAGATACATCCAATTGAATGCAGAATTCCAGAGAGTAGCTAGAAGAGATAAGAATGCCTTCTTAAATGAACAGTGCAAAGAAATAGAAGAAAACAACAGAATAGGGAGGACCAGAGATCTCTTCAAGAAAATTGGAGATATGAAGGGAACGTTTCATGCAAAGATGGGCATGATAAAGGACCAAAATGGCAGAGACCTAACAGAGGCAGAAGAGATTAAGAAGAGATGGCAAAACTACACAGAAGAACTATACAAGAATGAGCTTAACATCCCAGATAACCACAATGAGATGGTCACTGACCTCGAACCAGACATCCTAGAATGTGAAGTGAAATGGGCCTTAGAAAATCTGAGCAACAACAAAGCTAGTGGAGGTGACAGTATTCCAGCTGAGCTATTCAAAATCTTAAAAGACGATGCAGTAAAAGTGCTACACTCAATTTGCCAGCAAATTTGGAAAACTCAACAGTGGCCACAGGATTGGAAAAGGTCAGTTTACATTCCAATTCCAAAGAAAGGCAATGCCAAAGAATGTTCAAACTATCGCACCATTGCACTCATTTCACATGCTAGTAAAGTTATGCTTAAAATCCTACAAGCTAGACTCCAGTAGTATGTGGATCGAGAACTACCAGAAGTGCAGGCAGGATTTTGAAGAGGCAGAAGAACTAGAGATCAAATTGCCAACATACGCTGGATCATGGAGAAAGCTAGGGAGTTCCAGAAAAATATCTACTTCTGCTTCATTGACTATGCAAAAGCCTTTGATTGTGTGGATCACAACAAATTATGGCAAGTTCTTAAAGAGATGGGAGTACCAGACCATCTCATTTGTCTCTTGAGAAACCTATATGTGGGTCAAGAAGCAACAGTGAGAACTGGACACGGAACCACTGATTAGTTCAAAATTGGGAAAGGAGTCCGGCAAGATTGTATACTGTCACCCTGCCTATTTAACTTATATGCAGAGCACATCATGAGAAAGGCAGGGCTAGATGAATCAAACGTTGGAATTAAGATTGCCGGGAGAAATATAAACAACCTAAAATATGCAGATGATATCACTCTAATGGCAGAAAGTGAAGAGGAACTAAAGTGCCTCTTGATGCGGATGAAGAAGGAGAGTGCAAAAGTTGGCTTGAAACTCAACATTAAGAAAACCAAAATCATGGCATCCGGCCCTCTCAATTCCTGGCAAATAGATGGGGAAGA